GACGTTTTCTCAATCTACTTTTAAGTTGCACTCACTCTTCGTTGTACTCAGAGCTGACAGGGATGCGTTCACGTGCATTCATTCGTTCGAAAGAAGCTGTTGACATCCACTGGCTCTTTTTAACCACTCTTTTGGAGTTGGCTACGGTCTTCAGCGCTGCTTTTGCAGCAGACTGGAGATGGTACCAAGCTTTTTCTGGGTGAGTGAGTCTTCTGTCCCGATAACTGCCTAGCCAATTTCTCATTGAAAGCGGCTTTGGTGATTTCGTGCTCGAGCCGCACTCGCAATGCATACTACTCGCTGTACAAAGCCCAACTGACAGCTCAACATAGGCTCTAACACGCCTACGGGCATTTGAATGCAGTACCTTTAACAGAGCGATGTACTTTTAATGAGACAGTCATAAGACCTCTAGGTCGACGGAGTCGAATGTCGCCTTCAGGTCGATTAACATACCCAGTGTTCCAGAAGCTGGTAGTCTGTGAATATCTGGTCGATACACCCTTGGTCAGATGTGAAGCCTGCCTGGTTTTCTAAAGTTTGTGCTGTTCCTGAGCTTCACTCAGACGTCTGATGATAATAGGACCCAGAACCTTAGAAACTACTTTTGTCAGGCTGATTTCCCTGGGGATTTGCTTTTTGAGGACCAGAACAATTAGTGTTTGAGACCCGTTAGGTAGGACTATACCTGACTTCCACACTCTAGTTAAAACTTCAGTTAACTTCATTAAAAATCCCCGATCACGGTCCTGAAGCACCTCTGAAACAAGCTTATCAGATCCTGTTACTCCTCGTCGTTTCTGGCTACCTATAGCTTTTCTGACTTTTGTAAGTGTTGGTTGCTTTATCTTGATGTTCCATTAGGGATCCAACTGGACAGCGGCAACACAATAGTAGCTGGAGGCAAGCTGAACTGATCCTCGAAGTGTTTTGCTAATCGTTCTAGGCGTCTTCTCTGTAAGTTATTCATAGACCTATCCTTTTCGGCTAGGCTCATTTATTGTTGTTAGAACACAAACATGATACAGCGAGGGTATCAAGAAATGCGCCACACAAAATAAAATACCAACACTAGGGAGAAACAAAGCGAAAGGGAGTAAAAAAAAAACTTCAACAATAGCGTGATGAGAAAGGCAGTTCAATAAGGTACATCCAAAACAAAGCATTCACTACTTTTCAGCAGAAGGTAGACGGAAACTACAAAATGATTGCCACTGGTTTCGATTCTGAGCCATATCTGATAACGTCTCAAGTCACCAAGGTGGTGGCTCGGCATGTACAGCACATGTCCAAGCCATTTCAGTCGACTAAGGTTCACAAAATCACCATTCGAGTTGCCTGTCTTGCTCAGTACCCTTCACCTAACCTTAATATTGTTCACATGGTGATTCCACCAAACGCGAGCAATACTACGAAGACATCTGTGATCAAAACCTTGCAACTGCTTCATCTCATCTACTTTTAACCGCCGTTTCACAGTCATACCAACAGCACGGAACGGATTACAGCGAAGCATACTGGTCCATTGATAGATATTTATATATCTTGCCAGTCGGCGCCATAGCTGATGCCAGTCGGCAAGTGCCAATCAGGCTGAGATTTCGTCAACAACCGTTTGGTGGGTTGGTGTAACTTCCCAAGTAGGTGAAGCGGTCGGCATATTTCACCAATCTACCCCTATTTTTTGACTGGCTTCATTATCCTGCTTGAGCATTAAAGTGACCTGCCATAATGACTACATCTGAACGTTCTGTTTTCAGTAGCAAAGTTGACAGCTTCTCATAGAATTCATCAATCGCATCATCCAAACAGCAGTCGTTGGGTGCATAGGCGGAGATTAAGGATAGTGATTGCCTAGTCTAACAATCATTCCTAGTTTGTACAGATCCATTCAGTCGAATAACACATAGGTGGCTCTTCACTGAAAACCAGTCGAGCACACTTTCTTCCATACAGCTCAATGCTATGCTTACACCCGTGGTCCACGAGAGATGGTCATTACGTCTCCAGTCGCTCTTAAAGATAACTTTAGACTCACTACTACAACCAGGTGAGGTAATTTAATAAGCTCATTCAGGTCCTGTATATGTTTCACAGAGTGACAGCATACATCCATGGCTCGAGATTCCGAAGTTTTGGCAAGCGATACTTGTAGTTCGACTTGGAAGAGTTTGAACGTTGGAAGCTCTTACATGAAATCGATGGCGGGGTCCTAAGAGACTGGGAACGAGGTATCGATAGCTTTGATCGTTGACAGTGTTTGCAGAGAGAGGTTGGGTAAGGTGTAAGAGGTTTAATATTAGTATATGGAGGCGAAAGCAAAAGAAAGTTGACGAGGTTGTTGTGTGATTGGGTCGTGTGTACTACTAGAAGAGCGAGGGCGTTTGATAGTTCAAGTCTGCCGGCACCATAGAAGGCTAGGTCTTCTTTAGGTACCTGAAAAAGAAGGGTTAGTGCTCTATCCCACAGTTCAAGGGAAATCTGGTAGACACGGGTCACGAACGGCCTTTTCGATACCTCGATAACTGGTTTGTAGTATGGGATATTTATTTGGACATACGCCCTGTGGTTTCGGATTACCACTAACCACTGATTTAGGCCACCATAATGCATCATTTCATTGTTTACGAATATTTTAAGATCAGGGTAACTGCTTTCTGCCTAATTACTATCCAACAGAACTTCCTGGTATGGTAGGACTTCGAGGGGACAAGCGATACATCAGCATGGCACGCTGTCATTGTGCATTACAAGCCTGTCCACCATGTCAAAGTCATCATCAAAATTAACATAAGACCAGGCATTACAGCGTAACCATCCAAGTTGCCACAGCTTATATCAATACATCAAGTAAACAGACAATAAAATAAAGATGAAGAAGGAAAGAAAAATCGGTCAGAGGAAGTAGAAAGTGGTAAAATAAAGGAATGAAGAATGGAAAAATGATGAGATTACGTATAGTGTTAAGATGAGGATAGTGTGTGTACACATCTGCACCACTGACATCAATTCTGAGCCATATCACCTAGAGTCTCCAAACACTGGTTCCTCTTGTCCCACGGACCCAAACCACCCAGTCTGCATCGCCCCACATGGCTCAAACCAACAGTCAAACACTTCATACATTCATGTCGTGTTTTAGTCTGCTCCCCTCCCCGAGCCTTTTTCAGCCTGAACCTACTTCGGTCAACATTGTGTGATGAGGCAGACGGCGACTACGCACACGTAACACGTCTCCCAACCATCTCAGTCAATGAAGGTGCACAACCGTGTTAACTGACTTAACTCTTCTCCATAAAACTCTACACCTGACTTCTGTGTTACTCACGTGGTGACACCACGAAACTCAGCCTACACTATACTACGAAGGCAGAGGTGGTAAAACACCTGAAACCAGCCTTCTTATGTCTTCCACCTTCAATGGTTATGTTTTCCAGCCACATAGTAGGACAGAGAGAACTGAAGCATGGTACGCTCGACGACTAATCGACAATCAGATATCACGGCGGCAGCACGGGTGGTGTAAGTCGGCGAAAACCAGTCGAGCCTTTTGTATTCGTGCAGAGATTTCGTCGCCCCTTAACCACTTCTAGGAATTTCCCTGGGATCAGGTTAGTCCCTCTCTGGTCAGATGACGAAAGAGAAACCTTCATAAGAACATCTCACTGAAGGCTCTAACACGCCCATAGATGTTCAAGCAATGAGCCTTCATAACGGTGATGTACCCGGTACTTCTCTTAATGAGACACTGAGTCTAATGATTATAGAACCTAGAATCTTTAACACTGTTTGTCAGGCTGATTGTACTATCGGTATCACAAGACTTCTTGACTTTCTTGGTGACTGGGATAGTCAGTGATTTACACCAGTCAAAGGGAACCATATTTGACCTTCAGTTAACTTGGCAAATCACTGTAACGTCGTCCTGTGATACTGCAGGAGTTAGTCCATCTGCACTTCCTCGTTTTAAGTTATCTCAAGCTTTCTCGATTTCTACAAGTGTTTGGCAGCCAATTTTAATTTCTCATTTAGGACCCGACTGGATAGCAGGCAATGCAATAGCAGCTGGAGGCCAGTTGCACTGTTCATTGAAGTGTTCTGCCAATATAATCTGGCCTGGGCTATGGTTAAATATGGGCTCTGAGGGTATCAACTAAGACAGCCTAGCCTCAAGCTTTGTTTTTAAAACAGGCTTTGAACCCATGATTATTATATTGGAGCCCCAATACTTCTTAAAGCATATACCCAGCCAGCATTTACTTTGGGCGCTCTTTGGAACTTTCGGGTATTCCCCCTAAACTTCACAAATATTTTACTTGGCCGCTATTATTTCGTTGACTTGTGTAACATAAACACATGTAGCACATAAACGTCAAATATTCAGATTAAAATATTACGGATTAGGGATTTTTATCATTTGGGATATGGGTTATTACAAATCTTCGGGTGCACTACAGACGCTTTGGGCGCATTGCAGAAACTTAGGCCGCACTTTGTGACTTTTGACACTTTTGAGGAAAAGGTTTGGGACATTCGGGGGGTTTCGTGCGCCGCCTGATATGCGCCCGAAGAAAATTTTCGAGTTTTAGCCTGAAACTCATGATGTGCGCCCGAAGCTAATGCTGGCTGGGTAGAGGCTTCATTTTCTCCACCTTTTGTGAGTTCGATGCAGTATCTTTCACTAGATGACTGTACAGTTTGGCTATATATAGTATTTAGATGAGTACTTACTTGCATAACCAGCACTTTGACGCGGAAAATGGATGAAGTTTAATACATGGAATCTAGGCCACTAGTTAAGTCATTTGAATAACGCGCTGGCACTTTGCTGAATGCCAATGGACATTTGTTGATTGCGCTACAAACTGAACGTTATAGAATCAAACCTTTAACTCAATTAATAAATATTTTGCTTTTGAAAGCTAAAACACATAATTTAAAGTGGTTTTCTTTATAGGATAAGGCAGTGCTCAAGCAAAAACTGAGTACTAGCTTTTGTGAGATTATCGACCAACCACGCGCACGTATATCGAACGGCCATAATGGATTTGGCCTTCGTGGTATTGACCGCAGAACATCGATAACTTCGATCGAATTTTTCCGCACGCTTTCTGGAGGATTGTTAGAATTTGCCTCAAGAGCGTCAGTTTTCTTCTATTCTGGATGCTAAATGACTGAGAGGTCATTTCAGTCACTAATTAGTGGTATTTCCTTGCATGACGAAACTACTCTCAATAACATCTCACTGAAAGCTGCACTTGACAGTCAAAATTTTGATCTCAATGGACAGAGTCATGATGATGGATTATCTATGCCTGGGAAAGGAGTGAATATTGTCTCAAAACCTAGGATGCTACCTTCTGGAATGTCAGCTAGTTCAGGTTGTGGAACACTTACTATGGCACCTGTTCCTATAGGAGCTCTTGCCCCAGGTAAAATTGGTCTCCCTCTTGGTGATTTAGAGAACATCCCTATTTTTAACACTGGGGATGCGGGGTCACTTGAACTTCAAGCACTGCAAGGTGGTGCTCAAGCTTTACAGGGTGTCCAAACCGTTAAGTTGACATTCATTAACTGTGGAGATCAGCAAACCATTCTCCTCACCACTCCTTCAACTCATTTTACCATGCCTGATCAAAGTTTGGATGGAATGACGCTCACTTTGCCCGACAATTTGTTGGCTACTGATCTTAATTTTGCGGGCCTTACATCGATGCAACTTGGAGAACTAACGGGTGGGAATGACAAAGCTAACGTATCTGATAGCTCAAAATCAACAAACTATGCAAATATGACTTCACTCCCGCCTATAACTTCAGTGTCAGATAAGCTTTACAGTCAAATGGCAAATGAAAATGATACGATTCAGCAAAGCCACAGCTATGCTATTGAGGATTTAAAGCCAGTAATGCAAAAGAACGGTGAAAAACTGCATGAGAGTAATCCTGGTAATATCAACTTTTGCTTTTATATATTTTTGTAGCCTATGGACATACTAATCAACCTGGTAGTCTTAATGTATCACCGGCTGTCGTAACATCTCAAAATACGTTCTCTCAAACCATGGGTGTTAAACCTATGAAGTTAATTGACCAAGGTAGTTTAAATCATTTTCTTTCATTCCCCCGTAGGCAATATGTCTCCTATTCCTCAAGTTGATGGAAGTGACCAAGAAGGTAATGACCAAAACTTGCCAGATGATATGAGCGAGCTAAACACTAAGGTAGAAAGAATATATCTCATAGTTTTATTAATACTGTTTTAGGACTTAGCTCAGAGGATCAGTGCTGAACTAAAGAGGTACAGCATTCCTCAAGCAGTATTCGCACAACGCGTTCTGTGTCGAAGCCAGGGAACTCTTTCGGATTTACTGAGAAACCCTAAACCATGGAGTAAACTTAAGTCGGGACGTGAAACCTTCAGGCGCATGTGGAACTGGTTAAACGAACCAGAATATCAACGAATGTCTGCATTACGTCTAGCAAGTAAGTTATTATTCGTAACTCACAAACTCTACAGCATGCAAACGAAAAACGGAAGAAACGCAGAAAACGCAAGATGAGCGTACTTCAAAAAAGCCTCGACTTGTTTTCACTGACATTCAAAGACGCACGTTACATGCTATTTTTAAAGAAACTAAACGTCCAAGCAAAGAGATGCAAGCAACTATTGCTCAGCAGTTGAATTTGGAAGTTTCCACAGTTGCAAACTTTTTCATGAATGCTCGCCGCAGATCTTTAGACAAATGGGTAGATGACAAAGATGTTCAGCTGACAGCTTCGACATCTTCCCCAGTTCATAGCTTGGAAGGTTCACCACCAAACCACAGCACACGTATGTCTTCACATATGGTTGATCATTGTGCTGTGCGATCAGCACACGATACGATAACGACGTCACATCTTCCAGACTCTATGAATGATTCTGTTCTTAATCGAATTCCAGGTTGCCACTCGGCTCTGTCAACTTCTGTTGAGCTTTCATCTTCCCCAGCACCGCCAAGTTTAACTCCAGATCCGTCATTATCCATGAATCATTCAGATGTTCATCTAAATGCTCCATGCCTTGTCAACGAAGATGCACGTAATAGCCTTCTTTTATCATCCAATGACTCAAATGTGCTACCATCTCAGCTGCTGAACCATTTGGTCGTTGGTGGGCAAAACGCTATGCTAGTAACTCAAAATGTTAGCCCAGATGCCGAGAAAAGTATAATGCATTCCACTCCACTTTCGTCGTCTTGCATTACGTCATCTGGTCTTTCTACAATAAAATCGGCTTTAGATTCTTTATGTGATCCCCCATCTTTGTCACCCCACTCTCATCTCCCTCCAGCTCCCGTTGAAACGCTGCACAATATTCATCCTATTCCACGTTCAATGGCTCATAGATCAACGGCTGATGCTAATCACGTTTTGCCTTCTGCTTCAACACTGATCGGTCACGATCGACTTATCGTCGATTCCATTGGTCAGTCAACAACCACAACAGTCCTCACTTCTTCCCATAATCTGGTTGACACTCTAGTTCTTCGTAGTAAACAGGAAGACCTAAATTCCAGCCTAATAATCAACGCTACACTAAATTAACTTACATATTTATTGATATATCATGTTTTCATAATATTTTCAAGTGCTGTGTATGTTTCTTCCCACACTTTGTGTTTATTGGTTCCGCAACTGTGTGATTATGGACTCATTTTCTCTAATTTCTAACATTGTTTTTTTATGTCCACTGTAATGTTTAATACTTCAAATGGGAGTTTTCCCCATTTTCAAAAGGTGCAATATTCTCTCTCCACAGCCACAGTACTGGCCATAATTTCGTTCGAAAAGTGTACAGTTTTATTTGTTAGTTTTGTCTTGTTGCTTCTTTGTTTTTCTCACTTGATCAGGCGTACTTTATTAAATCTGCTTTATCGAAAAATTAATATCCTGGATTTTCTGCTATCTATCCCGCAAATTTATTGCATTTAGTGCGGGTACTGCAGATTTTTGTTAGGATATCGAGTAATGTCTACTCTGATGGCTTGGTTATTGTGTAATAGGTTGATTTTCAATCCGTAGACATTTCCCACGTTAGGTTCTTGTTGTCACTTGCGCTGTCATTAATCTATGTTTCAGTCCTAGTTTTATATCTAGACTGCATTCTAATGTAAGTTAAATACTGCCTTCAACTCGGAATTGTTATTCACATACTAACTTTTGATTTTTGGGTTAATTATCCATTAATTCGTGATACATGTAACTCGGTAGCTTCTGTATTCATGTACATTGACCGTCCCCTGGTTTTCTCCTACTTATTATTTGTTATTGACACGGTATATCCAAGTGAGGATTAATTACCACAAAATAAACTAACAATACGCTAAACTTGTTTTCACTTGTGTACGCGTTTTCTAGACTCCAAAGTAAGTTCAACTACCTTTAGGCTGTACTTTTGAGGACTGTGCTTGATATTACATTCTTCAGCCTGACAGGATTTGTTTGATCCCTAGATAATTATTAATCTTTTAAATTCCCGTCTAGTCAGTTCGTTCATATTGGTAGCATCTCCAAAGTATTCCATTTGTTTAGTGCTACGGTGATGAGTTAACGTGCTGATACCTCACACCGTTATAGGAGCGCTCCATGCCTTTATTATTTGGGATATTTTTGGGACCAACACGTCAAATGACTGCTTGCATTAGCTGGTACTGTATTGATCATTTAACTTATGTTGGAAGCCGGTTTACGCCGATTGGGTCGATAATCGATGAAATCTCTGCATACAAAAATAGGTTTAATTGACACACCGCCTGTGTCATAGGTGACCGTCTGAATTCCTAGTAGAGGTTAAGTGTACTACATACGAGGTTTATTTTACATAATTATTGAAACGGTTTGTAGAAGCTTCAATCTTTGGACCACAGTGGTCTCTGTAACGTCTCTTGGACATAGTAAAGTTGGCATGTGAACTATTTAGTGAGTAGTAATACAGTAGGTCACTTACTGACGTTAGGTTCCATCAACTGAAGTTGTTGGGAAATATTTCAACAACGCACAATGTTAAATGAAGCAGGATTTAATCGGAAAACATCTGGAGCTGTGCAAAAACAACGTTTCATGAGATGTGGAGCGTGTGAGGTCCTTAGGAAAACTGGTATCTTGGGGACTAGAGGGTGTGACTGCGAGTCGGTCACACCTACGCCTTAACTTTATCTGCATTTTCGAAATCTTCCTGTCATACGTCTTCACTACCTCTATTGTTTCCTGGTAGCTTTCCGTGACTACTGATATTATCTCCACATCTGTCGCTCCTAGAACTTCACTCGTGAATCGTGGCGGTTGGAATCAGTACGCAATTATTCCAGGTTGTGTAACCATGACCCATTAACATGCTAACGAGAGTGATAGTTCCTTAACTTACTACCACGGTAATACTTTCATCAGCTATCGTGATCGCATAAGTAAATTATTCTTATTGTATGAAGGTCAAGCCGTACTGCTGGCTAGACGGGGTAGTTACAATAGTGTTTCCAAGTGATGAGCATCCCACCTTTCGGCTTTGGATACCTGGGTCTGTCCTTGAACTGGTGTACTTCACTTTGTCTTAAGGTTTTTCGAGAAACAGATTCATCTCTAAAACAATTTGGACGTCGTATGTGACCATCTTCAAGCAGGCGTCCCTTAATCCATGTGGTCATACAGAAACGATGTACTGTTACTTTCAAGTTTTTAAAGAAGTAACCACGGGCAGCCAGGGAGTGTCAACTTTAGTCGCTTCCGATAAGTTCTCTTTTTCATTGCGTTCCAAATAAAATTCATCTATTCCTGCTAAAAGTAAGTTTCTCATCAATTAACACTCCTGGATTCGGAATCTGAACTGCATTTTGGAGTATTCAATGTATGAAAAGTATGTCAAATAGAAAAATAGGCATCAGCCAAAACCCAAGTATCTCAGCATAAATGCATTTTGCTGCTTATATATGCATATAAAACGTCAGTAGGGTTATTCACTCAACTCAGCTTGTGGATGGATGCCAGTATACATGATGGCTGGTTGTTGTAGGATTTCTAGTGTAGTGATGTCACTAACTTCCATATCAGGATTCACTGAATTCCTGAGTAGTACTAAATTTTAATTAAAAATAGTCATAAGTAAGGATAATCATAGGCTATGTCTGAGTGTACTGGTAAATTAGTTCAGAAGATGACTGCTTGAGATCACAACACTAAAAGAACAGTCATGCAGATCATCGGAGCTTATTGCTCAATCAGTGACACATTTCTACCTGATATCTCTGAACGTAATGACTTATGTTTTGTTGTAGGTCGTGATCATAAAACTGTTTCCAAGTTCTACAGTCGCTTCATAAAATCATCTAGAGTCTCGATGTATCAAATTTTATACCGAACATATACAAGAAACCATCTAAAGTATATAGCCCAGTTAGCGTGTGCATTTTTTAAATATGAACTAGGCATATTGAAATAGGTTCAAACGGTAGACATTGATATAGTCGAATCGATGCTCAATGTTTCTTATTAAGAAACAAAATAGATCAAATTAATCTATCCTCACTGTTTCACCGCAGAATGAGAAATCTGATATGAATATAATGTATCTTAAATGATGGCATAAATTAATTTGTTCTACTTATTGCCCCCCCCCCTCTAGGCTTATTCATTCGAAGGGATGTCTGAAACCATATTCTATGTTAATGAAGCAGTGAGAGTCTATAGAATCTACATCTCCAAATTGAGACTGAATGTTCACAGTATTACCGATCATAAGAATAAACTTAAGTCATTAGCCTTCTGGATGCTCCTGGGATTTTTTTAGTCAGACTGATTATATGCTTGAGCGAGTCTGCATTGATTTTGGACCTTCGCCATTTAAAGGATTCTAGAACAAAAGCATACTTTCAGTGCCTGATACTTGCCCTTTATCCACACTTAAAATCGAAATCCCACTGTCGATCTAATGGTTTTGTTGCAGTACCTAACTATGAAGCGAGTGCTGAGAAAGAATGTTATATTAACTTGGGTTTTTATTCCTCGATTCACAGTTGTGTATCAGCGTGTAAGGAAGCGGTGTTTGAGGAGATAAAATCCAATGGTGTCCACTACGGATATTCTTAGTCAATATTCCTGTTTAACTTAGCTTCTGGTGTACTCAGAAAGGTGCCTATACTTCCCTGGACCATCTTAGGAATTGATCTGTTCTGTGTAAACCCCTTCACCTACAGTACATAGATGACGTGGTCCTGTTTGGTGGATATGTTAACAAAAATACGGATACATAGTGTCATCGTCTAAGGTGGCTGGGATATGCAATATGTGTGCGTGAAACTGTCATCTATCTTCACGTGTAATGCTAAGTAAAATTGGACTAGGGTAAGAGAAAGCTGACAGTTGCCAGCCGAAGAGTGGGATCAGTCTATGAAATTGTTTGACTACAGTCATCTTTATCTTAAAAACTGTTGATGAAAGTTGCTCGACTCGAAATTCAAAGCATCTAAATTCTTTGTTGTTTCTCATCTTAAGTGCACTTTTATTACAACGAAGGAAGAATTTATATTAAGGATGTTCAACCTGACATTGAAACGTCGTCCAGTCGAAAACTACACTCAGCGCAATTCATTCGTGATACAGACCGATTTATATCACTATATGCGGAATTGTATTCATCTTTTTTGTTATTAGTCTCCAGAGTATGATGATGTAGTGGAAATGATCTGTGCTTATCACAAAATCCCATCAGTTATTTTAAAAATTTTATATCACATGTTCATTTGTACAAATTAATCAGTAATCAATGAATATAGAGTTCAACTTTTTGGGTCAATTATCGATCGGTTATCTATATCATTTTTCATTAAAGAAGTAACTACAGATTTTCTGCAACAATTTTAAAGTGTCCTACGGTTGTTATTTCTTTTTGGATTCCTATCTCAGTATAAAGTTATATAGTGTTGATTTGTGAACACCCTGCTTATGAGAATTTTATGATTTCCTCGATACCACCATCGGCATCAAGAGTGAATGGAAAAGCTGTACAAAGTATACTGCTGACTGAGATTAGTAGTTCTAGACTGCTCACATCGATCAACATTGCTTGCTAGGCATATCAGGGTGTTCTTATTACCAGACGGCCGTTCCAGTCGTTTGGTGCCTAACTCACCACTGCCATAGCCTCATTGCACCAGTTTAGTGTACCGGATTCCAGCTACTCAATTAAACTGGCTGGTTGTACGGTTTTCAGACTGTCGATCGTAACGCCAATAGTTTGGTTTACATGGTCCGATTTCTCCCCTGATTTGATTAAAGATATGACCACTTCACTCAAGAAGCCAACTGAAGTTTGTATGGTCTAAGCGATTCGTCCGTCTGAGCTGAATAGATCCAGACACAAAGCTGATGAGCTCGGTCGCAAATATGCGAAACGGCCGTCTGGTGTTCAGATCACCTTGGTCTGGCTAGCGAACACTGTCGATTGGTGTAAGCGGTCTACAACTACTCATGTCAGTTAGTAGTATATGTTGTACAAATATTCTGCTTGTTACATCTTTCTTAAAGTGGTTACTAATTCGGCCAACAGTGACAACCTTATACTAGGCAATACTCCTTGTAATTTGGCGTTTGGACAAAGGCAACTGATATCGATTGATGACAGTATTCTTATACGTCAATACTTAGATTACCCGACCACCCCTCCCACAGTGAAGTATACCGTTATTTCTTATCCCCATTAGTATAATAAAGACACTACAATGCATCGCCTCGAAGGAGAACCATATTAATGGCATCATAGAGAAGTCGTAACCAGTCGTCGCTTAACTCGAAAACACCGACATAGACTTCAGTTTCTTCAACGAACAAACAATTCCTTTATTTAGTACTGAAAGGAGGACGTAACAGCAAAGAACATTTTTGTTCAACAATTTCATTTGATAAAGGTGTATAGTGGTATTTAAAATCTCTGGAAACAAATATCAGTCTGTCGGTAATCGATAGGGTCACATGATTGCAATAATGTTGAGGAGCTTCTAAAGACCGAAGAAAGTTACTACTTTGGCCATGGTATGGCTATTGAGTGCTTGCATCTGTTTGCTTGTCAGTGTGGAGCAATGTGTATTGGTGGTATATTGATCTCAGTGGCCAGCAGAGGAATCCAGGATGCGCGTTTCATGCTACTTGGGACTCTTCAGCTGGATGTACATGGACTATGCTGCTAAGTGATGTCGTTCACATTGAAGCTCGAACCCACTACTCATCTCTCCAAACGCCAGAGCGTTATCCACTAAGCCACCTTCTGTGCAACGGGTATCGGATGCTGTAATTTCCCGTTACCATACAGGGCAGAATTTCTCCACCTCTGTTGGTAAATC